GGGGAGGAAAACTTATATCGCGTTGACTTAGTTGAAAGTTCATAGTTCATTTTTGATGCAACTAGTAAATAACTTGACAAACTTTTGTAATTAGGATTAAAAGATTCATTTGGATTGAGCTTCTTTTTATTATATCTTTTTAAAGTCATTCGATTTATGCTAAACTTGCGAGCTAAAACATTCACTAGTCTGCCCTCTAAAACTTCATTAACAGCTGCTTTCATTGTATCACATGATATAGCAACTCTGTCTGTTTTTTATTTTTCTATACCAAACCATCTAAAGATCTGAAAATTAAAAAAAAAGTAAAATAAAATGATTGTTTAAAAAAAATATTTTATATAATAATATTATGTAAACTAATTGTAAAACTTTTGTACAACTAAAAGCTAATGTTATTAATATTAGTTTTTAACACTATTACATTTTAAAAATGAACTTTAAAAATTTATATAAAGATTTTTTATTCGTCTTAAGTTTAAACGCACAGCGCTCGAAATAGCGGCCGATCAGAGATAGTCTACTTTTACATTTGATCGCCTAAAATTAAATCTGGCCGATCAAATTTGATCGGCAGAAGTTGCTTGTCAAACTTTTGTAATAATTAATACAAAAACTTTTTAAATACAAAGTTAAAATTTAATTAGCATCAAAATTATTTTGAAATGAATTATATTCTCGATAAAATAATGTAGGTAAAAACGGCAAAACAAACACCTTATTTAAATTCTGAATAAAATAATTTTAAAAAAACGGCAAAGTTTTATTATATTTCTAAAACGGCAAAACAAACCAGTTGTTCATTTTTTCTATAATAAAATAAAATTAAAACGGCACATCGAAAATTAATTTATATTTTAAATAAAATAATTAGGATACAAAACGGAAAAATAAACATATTTATATTATCTAAATAAAAAATGTATATAAAAAAAAACGGTAATGTTTTATTTTGATTGAAAATAAAATAATTAAAATAAAAACGACAAAACAAACGATTTATTTCAATTCTAAATAAAATAACTAAAATAAAAACATCAAAAGATTGTTTTTTTTAATTCTAAATAAAATTTAAACGAACATTTGCTTAAATTCTAAAATAAATATGGCAATACTAATGTTAACTTGAATTCCAGAAAAAATAAATAAAATAAAAATGGTAATGTATTATCAAATCAAAACAATAAAAAAGAAATACGGCAAAACAGACGATATATATAAATTCTAAATAAAATAATAAAAAAATAAAAACAGCAATATTTCATATATATTCAAAATAATACAAAAAGAAAAACGGCAAAACCAACGGTATACTTAAATTCTAAATAAAATTAATAAATTCAAAACGACAAAACAAACGATTTACTTTAATTCTAAAGAGAATAATTAAAATTATACTTTATTAAAAGTTATAAAATGATAACGGCAAAACAAAAATCATGTGAGGTAGGATCATAAAAATGCATTGTAAATTTTAATAAAATTTAATAAAAAATTGATCGTCTAAAAAATTATTATAATTACGCTGATGTTGATCTTATCAAAAATTATTACGATTAAGCAATGAAGGGTTAATTAAATTGCAACCTCTAAATCAAGGCAAAAGTAAACGAGTAAAAGCAAAAAGATCATACTGCCCCGGCGATCAATGCGCCCCTATCGCCCCTAATTTTTTTTAAGAAAGAAATTAAAACTAACTCTTATAAAGTATGTTGCGCTATGACATCATATCGAAAAAAAGAAATATTTGTATAAATCAGGTTTGGCGACTTTCGAATTTGGCTTAATTCGAATTTAGCCAAACCTGATTTCTACTTTAAAAATCAGGTTTGGCTTTTTTTTTTACTTTATATTTCTTTTTTTCGATATGATTTAATTAATTTATTCAATTAAATCATTGATTTAATTAATTCAAATATTTAAATAATTCAATCGTGACTCAATAAAATCATTTAAAAACTAATCAGTTTTTAAAACAAATGATTTAATTGAATCACGAGCAAACCAAGAGGGTTTAATAAATGGATCAGCAGAAAAAGGTCGAGCAACAAAAGTGTTTGATGAATTAAGTTCTCGCTCCAAAAGACAATTAAGATATAGCAAGTATATCATTTGATTCAAAAACGGAATCCGTGGAAAAAATATAGTTAGTCGCACAAAGAACTGCATCTAATAAACACAAATTTAATCTAGCCAAATTACTCAGCTAACCACGTTGCAAGAGAAAATGACGTCTAATGAAGCTTTTGCATACTTCTTGAACAATAAACTTTCAAATAGTACTACTTATACTAAACACTATATTGTTTATGAAAATACTCATAAAGAAGCGCCATGCAGATTTCCATCTTATCGAGCAATTTCTGAAATAAAAAAAAGTCCTTATCTATTAAAATATCCATTGAAGCTACTGAAACTAAGACTAAAATTAAATAAAAGACCTTACGACCTAGTAGCTAAATTAAACTAGAAAAATTTTCTTTACACATCCAAGAGGCTTGTGAAATGAAAGGATGCGTAAGATTTTAATTAAATTTGGATGTGAAAGGTTTACATCCGTAAACATTCGTAAACATCCGTAAACATCCGTTTACATCCAAGAGGCTTGTGAAACAACAAAAACAGAAAGTTTCAAAATTTGTTAAAAAAGACTTTGTTAAATTAACACAGATAATGGTTGGGGTGCGCCTTCCGGAAAAAGTTAAAAGTTTGTTAGCACTTAATAGCGGTGATAGAGAAAATTCATATAATATGAAATCATATAAATTTGATGACTAAGATGAATTACATTTAAATATTGACAACGTTGTTCTAGAATTAAATATAGATGTAGAAAAATAAAGTTCTAAACTGTATAATATGTATAATGTATAACTTTATATTCGTTTAACTACTGTATAAATAAAAATAATTATTACTACTATATAAATAAAAATATATATAAAAAATATTAAATAAAATATTTAAAAAGTTGCAATTATTCGTCTCAAATCTTTAGAGTTTGCATGCAAAAATACCCCAAACATTTATTCATTAGTTTTTATTATTATTATTATTATTATTATCATTATTATTATTGTTATAATTATTATTAGTTTTATTATTATTATTTATTATTAGTTAAAAATTAAAATGACCGATTTTAATTCTCTACTAATAACCTGTTAAAGTTCCAAAAATACGACTATATAAAGTTTTCGCCCTCCCCTCAAAATGAGGGGTTGTAAAGTTTACATGATCATAATTTTTAAAGAATAAAGATTATTTAATGAAAGTTAAAACATATCGATGAATTTAAAAGTATAAAGTATTAATATAAAGTGGCAATCCCCAAATTTTTTTTTGAATTCGTTGCTCTTCTATTTAAAATGGGGACTAACTTTTTTTTGGGTGTTTTTGATCCCTGGCTTCAATCATATCAATTTTTTAGCACAGCATTATATTTTGACTTTTAGCAGAAACTTAATAAGTTTGGAACATTTTTAAAATTTTCCATTGTTTCGATAATATCATATATAAAAACTCCAGATGCGCTTCAGTGAAACAGGTCAGAATCATCAAAATAATTGTTTCGTTTAATATTTTCGGAGCCGAATTTACACTGCTTCGGCCGAGTGCCTAGTCGTATTTGGTAAAATCACTTTACTTCAAATAATTTTTAACTTGGTTTGAAATAAAGTTTAATTACAATGCGCTACAGCCGTTTTTCAAAACGTCTTAAGCTAAAATAATCTTTTTTTTTAGGTGTCTACGAACGTTATCGAATGAATATTTTTGAAGAAATATGAAAAAATTCATAAAAATTATTAGTTTTAAATAATGTTTAACATGCTTCTACTAATGATTTTTTTTTATTACGTTTTTCTCGAAGTGCGTAATAAGAAGCATCTAAATGCGTTTTAAAAACGGCTGCAGTGCGTCACTTAAAAATACGCAACTGACTTAGTTTAACTTATAATATTATTATTATACAAATATAATAATATATTTTACTTGCGTTACGCCTTTCCGTTACGCAACAAAATCCCATAACATATTTAAGCATATCAGTAACAGATATGATTAAAAACTTTCAATGTAATCAAATCTTGTATATCTCGATTTGACAAAAATTATGTTTTCGTTAATTTATCTCCATAGTATTAAAATTATACAAGCATATCATCCCATTGAAAGTATGATGAAACTACTGTTAAAAAATGTGCATTTTCCCGCAAGCTAAACTAGATTAAACTGTTTCATCCGTGTTCAGTAAAAATTTTCCCCACACTTTTTTATTGAAATCCTCGTTTAGTAGATCTAAACTAAAGATCCCCCACCGCCCATGTATAAAATACGCAAGAGTACTTACCATTCCGTTATTTATTTTTTTAAAAAAGTGATGCTATAAATAATGAATAACCTTGATTTTTAGATAATTAATTACTTGAAATTTAAAGCTTTTATAAACCAGAGCCGATGACACCACGGTGGTGTGGGGGAGGGGGCAGGGTGTACTAGACTCCCCCATACTTTTTTTTCCAAATAACCTCTTTTGCTTTTGTTTTTCTAAAATTTCTAAATATAGATAACTTTTTTTTAATTGTAGATTGTGCTCCTCCACTTTTAAATCCGTATTGTCAGATCTGTAAACAAATACAAAGATGATCTAATCTTTACTTAATAAGTACACTCATTGCCCCTATCAACTATGGTTATTCTTTTATTTGGTCCTTAAGGTCCTCACATAATTGTATACTTTTGCGCGGTCCTCTCACTAAAGTTAAAAAAAACTAGTAAACACGTCTTCTACGAATAAATATTATTTTATAATATTCTTTCATTTTATTATAACATAAAATTTATATAAATTATTAATTTTTCAGTTTATAACAAAATATTCGTTTAACCTGTTATTTAATTATTTAATGTTTTTTAATTATAATTTATAGTAAAACTAATGTAATGTAACGTAAAACTAATGTAAACTTACTTAAGTAAGTTTACATTAATTCTATATTACAAAAAAAAAATTTACAAAATTTAGTTTTGAAGTTGCAATTTTTCACTTAATACTTATGCGTTACACATTGCACATATTATCTGAAACTTAATACACACATATATAGTTAACACATATATAAAACATAAAGTCTATTGGAAATGACAACTTTAAATGAATATTCATTGCAAACGCGTTTGGATCGTAGAAAAGGAACAATGTCAGAGGTGGATCGCGCCCAATATGAAAAAGAGCAGGTAATTTTAAAATAATAGTAATAACAATAATACTATTAATGCTTAATAATAGTGATAGTGGGTTTATAATACTAGTGATAGTGGGTTTTTAAGTAGTAAATAGCCTTAATATTATTGTTATAATTATTTTTACAACTTTTATGTTTATTTTTATGCTTACATAATTTTAAATCATATTGTAATAGTGCTTTAATTTTTTAACTTTAATTTTTTTCTATGTTTTTGTATTGTTTTTTTTTTTGTTTATCTTTCATTTTTTTAAAAATAAATAAATAATTCTTTCTGTTTTAATCAGGGTTTTTTTTTTAGGTATCATACAAGTATATATATATATATATATATATATATATATATATATATATATATATATATATATATATATATATATATATATATATATATATATATATATATATATATATATATATATATATATATATATATATATATATATATATATATATATATATATATATATATATATATAACAACAACAAATGTCTAAAACTCATATAATGTTACTTCTATTACAGCCAATATTGATAAAAATGTTTATAATATAATTGTATATTACATATAATAAAAAGAAATTAGGATTTGTAAAGTATTTTTTAGGTTAAAGCTGTTTTAGTATTTAATTGGCCATCCTTTGTTTCTTATGAATTCCGCACATCTAGAAGGCATACTATCTACAAGTTTTTTTAATAAGTCATTTGGCAAAGCATTCCAACCATCAAGAAGAATTCGAAACAGATCATCTTCATTTGTTGAAAAAAGTTCTTTTATACTTGGTCCAAGCTGGTTAACTAAGATTTTGTGATACAAATGCTGGTCCATAATGCCCTTCACCCTGTAAAGTTTTTCAACTTTGTGTGCACTAAAACAACCCCAGACATTAATCTTTTTGTCATGTTTAATAGTTGCCTTGCACATTTGAGGGTTGAGTTTTTCCCCAATTAATTTCCAACAGTGAGATCGACCATTATAATACAAAACAAATGGAGATTCATCGCTCCAGATAACGTTAGCCCATTGTTCACATGTCCAATCTTTGTGCTCAATGCACCACTTTACACGCTTTTTTCGATTGATTTCACTAACTAAAGGTTTTTTAATTTGCTTTCCAGAAACAAAATCATTTGATGCTTTAATCCTGCGAGATATTGTCCACTTTAAGATATTAGTAAGGTTCAAATCTAGTTTTATCTCAGAATGAGTGATTTTACGATTTTTTTTGACAGCATTAACAATATATTAAATTAAAATAATCGTTTGATAAAAAAATTCTTATGACAATTAACGCTAGAATTTTCATATAATGCAATCTTTAATACAGAATACTCTAGAACGTTACTTCGCATAGTCAGCGTATTTTTTGAACCAATAGAATTAGTTTGTTTGTAGATATGGCGAGTTTTTAGTGTTCGCAAATATTCTTTATTCCGCACCAAGATGTTTTGAGAACATTTAATTTTTTGTATGTTTCCATGTATGCTTACATAACAAAATTTTAAAAATACATTAAATGTTCTCAAAGCATCTAATAAATGTGGCCAAGTTGTCGCAACTAAATATTATTTTCTTCGGGATAATAAAGCCTGATATATAATGCACAAACCCAAACTTGCTTTGGTACCACTGGAGCAGTATGAGCACCCACAAAAAAGGGCCTAAAAAATAAAAAAAATAATTTAAAAAATTGAATTTTTTTAAATTATTTTTTTTATTTGCTTCTTTATTTAAAACAAGAAAAGAAATTTTAATTTCAAATGCAGTAGTAAATAACTAATTTTCTGTTTATTTTAGTGAGCTCATTTTTTCTTTGGGACAATAAAATAGTAATTATGCTTATTAATAGTTATTAATAGTAACATAATTATTAATATTCAGAACCAAGCTTTCCTAGGAAAGGCGTGTAGTTTTTTGGCTTCCAGTTGATTGTCCACGCATAAGTTTTTTCATTTTAAACAACTTCGTATTTTTATTATATTAAGCATTTCAATACTTTGTGGAAAAATTGTTTAAAAACAAAGAAAGCAAAACTAATAATATAGAAAATCGTATTGAATCCCACCTCTATCCAATTGTTTATTCTTTTTCTTTTAATTACCACTGCTCATATATTTGCTTTGTAACCATTTATCTTTTCTTTTTTGTATATAAAAAATCTTTCTAAAAGGCCCGAGGGGGCCACTACAGTCGAGTAGACAACTCATTTTTTTTTTTTTTTTTTTTTTTTATACACATTCTTTATATTCAGGTTTTTTGTACCATTTAAGCCTCTCAGTGTATTTTCTAAGTATTGCACACACACATATTGTAAGCTTCAATTATGCCATGCTGTCTACACATTTTTCACATAGCCTTAATTGTTTTATGTAACCTTTTTATTCCTGTACGTTTTAGCGCTTTGTAATTTTGGATATCTGTTGTTTTTTTAACATTTGACTAGTGCGTAAACAGTTAATAATAGTAAACTTTTGCTTGAATTTTGAACTTTTAAACTGGGCATCAGCCCAACACCTTTTAATAATTTTTAGGTAACTCTTACAATAACAATGTTTTCTCCTTCTTCTCTCAGGCTCATATGTGTCAGGGTTGGCAAAAAAACCCAACCCAAAAAAACCCAACCCAAAAAAAACCAAAAAAACCCACCTTAAAAAAACCCAAAATATATTTGGGTTTTTTTAAAAATGACCTATTTTACAACTGATAACTCTGATTTTAACACTTATAAATGCTTTATTATCACCAAGTGCAACCTTTATACTGTAATTACTCTTGTAAACACTGTATTTATATACATAATGGTCTTTAGGATATACCCAAAATCAATCAATCTGTTTTTGTAGCAAGTTGGTTATTTATTATTTTTTTAAAACATTTAGCAAGTTATTATAAATGTTATTGAAGTATGTATTAAAACATTAAATTAGTTAAATACTTATAAAGGAAATAAAAATCATTCTATTAACTAAATTTCAAGACATTACTAGTTATTTAGTATCTTTATTCTCCTCTCGAATGTCTGTATTCTTTTATATTGGTATTTGATTTTTTATTTTTTAAAGCTTATGTTGTAAACTGCAAAAAAAAAAAAAAAAAAAAAATACAAAGCCACAAGCAAAATACTATATATAAAAATTAAACTTTATTTACAGTTTAGAAATGGAAAATTGTCAGGCAAAAAAAAATGCTACAGTTTACTAGATTTGTCCTTCAGTGCATACAACTTTAAAACTTAACAGGTTGTTAGTAAATAAAATTAAAAAAAAAAACGCGTATAGAAAAGCCTAGAAACTACTTTAAAATAGAAAAGCCTAGAAAATGACGTAAGTCGACTATTAACTACTACTATTAAATTAGCGTATTAATATTATCAGAAGTATATGTATTGCAAAAAAAAAAAATCTTTTGAAATACTAAATTTAGTTTTTTCCGCAGTTTCAATTCAAACTCTAATAAATCAGACCAGAAAAAGTTTAAAAACTTGATAAAAGTCAATTTATAAAATTAAACATTGCTTGCCCAAGCCAAACCCTCAGTGGATGTAGCTGGAATCCCTTGTAGCAGCAGGCTATATGGTAGTTGATGTAGCAGCACTTCCTTGTAGTATCGGGCTATAAGATAGTTGATGTAGCAGTTCTCTTTTGTAGCAGCACAATATAAGATAGTCAATGTAGCAACACTCCGCACTTGTTTTACAGTAAAAAAGTCCCTCCTCACATGTTTTACTTATTTGTCAGTCTATGCGGTAGTGGTGTAGTGGTAGAGCGCTCGCTTCATATACAAGTGGTTCCAAGTTCGATCCCCACCACGTCCCTGGTAGTACCGCGCTCAACTCGTTTCTCCGCGCAGCGGGCTTGTTTGTCAAGGTTTGTGTTTCGGAGTTATAGAGTTGAGAGAGGGTTATAGCCACAAAATAAGTAGCCTCCTCGTCTGTAGTGGCCTTCTCGGCCTTGAGGAGGTGAAGTAAAATTAAAAAAAAAAAAAAAAAAAATGTAGCAACACTCCTTTAGTGTTTTCAAAATTTTCTAAAACAATAAAACAAAAACACTATTTATTAAAAAAACTTTCATGTCATTATTATAGTGTTTTTTTAAAAACAATAAAACTTAATGTACTTCTGCATTATTTTAATTGTTTTAACTTTTAAACGGCATTAAAATGTTGCTTAATTGTTAATGTCATTTCAATGTTTAAAAAAAAACATTGAAAGGGACTTTTTTTACCATTCAAGTCTCTTTCAACTACTATATAAAGATATATATGGGTCATTCTATATCAAATCACCTAATGGTCCCCAGGGTACCACCTCAAATTTGCTTCAAATTTTGACCACCCACACTATTTATGAAAAAAATACAAACCTCAAAATTTCAGCTTGTTAGGCTGAACCGTTCAAAAGTTATAATTGATTTAATATTGACAAAAATCAAAAAAACTTAAGTACCTGGAGCTTATAGTAGATTTTTTTTGATTTTTGACAGAGCGTAACTTTGTAAATAAAAAAAGTGATTACCTGAAATTTTGTATGTTAATAGTTTTTAATCCAAATAATTAAATTTTGTAGGTATTTTTGACTGATTTTAAACAATTTTTGAGTTCTTGTACCTCAAAATCGCTAAATAATACAATATTAGAAAAAATTTTGGAAACTTTAATATGCTATAATTCAATACCAACAGACAAGCTATGCCATTTTTTTTGTTACTTTTGTGTACTTACAGTAACCACTTGTAAAACTTTTAACACATAATTTTAATTTTTTAACACATAATTTAAAAAAATTAAAATTATGTGTTAAAAGTTTTTTTAGCACTTGCAGCAGCTTGTTAAGAAATCACTTTTTAAAAAAAAATATGATAAATTACATTCACTTTGTAGGCATAGAAAGTAGTGTAGACAGTTGAAATAAATGAAACTTTTTACTAGCGAGGTTTTATATATAAACAATCACCAAAAAAGATTCAAAGATCTATACTCTATCTTAAGACATAATTTTAGCATTTTAAGTGCAATGCTTTTTTAGTTTAAAAGAATAGCGTAGGTTATATTATATTTCAAAAAAATAAAAATAAAAAATAAAAATGCCAAATTAATATTATTCAGCAAATGGGTATTATAGACAATATTGCTAGAGATTCTCTGCAAAAATAATTTCTCTCCACCTGGTACAAAATTGTGATTTTTGTGGTTGGGACTGTGCTCATCTCTTTATATTGTTTCTTTAGGTTGAAATAAGTTTCATGGTTATTGATATCAAATGTAAAATATGTTAACACCTTAAGTGTTTTTTTCAGCCCATGTAAACAGCTCATTTGGTGTAAGAATCTGCCCATAGACTTGCTTTTGGTGCTTCTCTTTTCATAGTTCCTCCTATTCCATCACATTGCCTTTTGCCATGGGATGTAGCAAAGAAGTGATGCTCAGCATTTATATTGTGACCATCAAGATGGTACATTAAGTTTTATAGACTTTTGTAATTTTTGTATTGTGACACAGCACAATCACTGAAGTATTTTATTTTACTAATTGTGTGTAGTTTGATTTTGATCATTGGAAGTAACATTGTGAGAAAATAATGAACTTTTGTTTGGTCATGGCAAAGATGGTCAGAAATTGTACAATAGCATTCACATTTGAGTTGATTTTTTTCATCTTTGTAATAAACTGGATTAAGCCAGCTTGATCGGCTTGCCAGTAAAATCCTTGTACAGCATCTTGCACAAGAAAACTATAGTTCTCTGCAAAATCCATAAGAATAAGACAAGTGTGTTGATCCAATGTTCTTTTTTCCTCTGATAAGTAGGAGGATTGTGCTTCTTTGATAAAGTGGTGGTGATAAAAAAATGCTTGTTTGGACTGTGACAAGTGCAGTTCGGTCAGTTGACACCCATTGTTTGTATGTGATCAAATCAAAACCATATTTTTCAAACACATTTTCCAAGTAAGTCTTCAAGTTTCCATTACTGGTGCAGTTGGAACATAGAAGAAATATGCATCTTCAACTATCTATATTACAAACATAGATTACTATATTACAAATTAAATGTTTTTGTTTATGAAGTTTTACATTATTTATATGCACAGAAACAGTCTTTTTTTCCTAGACATTGTCTTATAAACTCTTTAGATTCATAAATTTCGGTAACTTTTTGTTTAACAATATCTTTCAAAGGCTATTTTAGCCTCAGGTTTAGCAAGTATTCCTTTTTCATTTTTCAACTTTCAAGCTTTCTTAATGAGATGTTCTGAAACTGAAAATGTTTTGCAAGTTTTTTCAATTGACTAACTATCAGGAGTAGTTAAGCCTTTTCTTCCTTTAAACTTATTTTAATTTTATTTTTATTGCATCTAACATTTAGTCTAAATCATTACAGTTTATACATTTTTGCTCTTTTTCCGATTCTACATCTTTTGGGTCTATATAAAATTCTGGTGTTACTAGGTTTGTCAACTCTTAAGTTCATTTGCTATTGATATGTTGACTTTACAGAATCCTTTGATAATTTTTTTTTTGTGGACTTTAAATGGATCACATCAGTATTTTTGAAGTGCTTCATATCTAGAAATATAGGCTTTTTCATGGTTAAAACATATCTCCTCATTTGGTTCAAAAGTGTATCCTATCTTCTGAATTAAATCTTCAATATCAGTATCTTTTAGTCTTATTCTTCCTACAATTCTAAAATATGACCTTTTATCACAATCTTCATTTAAAACTCCTCCCAAATATTATTTCTCTGACATTTTTTACTAATCTAAAAATATTAAAATTGAAGGTTAAACATGTAACATAGTTAAAAAAAAAAACTTTTTTATATTTTTTCAGTAATAAAATCTCAAGTGCAAATGTGATTAAAGTTGTCTAAAATGCAACCAATAAACTATTTCTACATATAACCTTTTCTGCATACACAAAACTTTTTAGTTTTTCGTTCTTACAATATTAAAAACTAAAATAATAAAATCCAGAAAATACTGTGCAGATTTTAATACAAACTCTTGAAGCAATTGAAGTATATTAAACTCAAAATATAACTCAAATTATATGTGAAAATTCTATTATTATAATTATATCATATCCATAAAATTAAATACATATTCCAAAATCATATCAAATAAATTTAGTTAAGACACTTATAATGTTATTTTAGGGAAAACTGATTATATTTATTCAAGGAAATATTAAAAATATACACCTAGGTCATAGGCCTACAATCATGTTATAAGATAGAATATGGGTCTTTAAATTTTTTTTTGGTGATTGTCTATATATAGAACCTTGCCAGTAAAAAGTTTAATAATTTATTTTAAAAAGTGATTTTTTAACAGGGTGCTGCAAGTGCTAAAATAACTTTGACACATAATTTTAATTATATATATATATATATATATATATATATATATATATATATATATATATATATATATATATATATATATATATATATATATATATATATATATATATATATGTGTATATATATATATATATAATATATATATATATATACACATATATATATATATACACATATATATATATATATTATATATACATATATATATATATATATATATATATATATATATATATATATATATATATATATATATATATATATATATATATATATATATATTTATATATATATATTTATATATACATATATATGTTTAAATTAATATATTATATAGAAATTTAAGCATATAATAATTTATAAATTAATTATAAATTATTATATGCTTAAATTTCTATATAATAATTTATAATTAATTAATTTTTTTTATTGTAATGATTGATTTTTACGCTTGAAAAATGCTAATACTTTAAGGGATTGTCCATAAGTTACATAACGTGAAATTAAAATTACAGACAAAATACAAAGGATTAAAAGTTTTCTTTTGCAGAGTCATTAATTAAATCAAATTTAATTTTGATTTAATATATATATGTATATATATATATATATATATATATATATATATATATATATATATATATATATATATATATATATATATATATATATACATATATATATTTACATATATATATATTAATTCTGATTACAAAAAAGTTTATTTAAGTTTGTTAAGATTAAGTTTAATGTTTAGGTTTAACTTTACTGTCAAATATATTTTAAAATATTACTAAATATTGTTCAAATAGTTTGATTTTATTTATTTTAAAAAAAAAATTAGCTTATTTTTATTGCATTCATGAATTCATTCAGTTTAATTTAACTTTGTATACAGACAGAGTGCATCACAAAGGCAATCAAAAATGAAGAGTCTGCGGCCAAGGAAAAACATGTTAGGCGTATCTTTTTATAAAATAAAATTAATGATGACAAATATTGTTATTAATTATAATTGTTATTAATGATGACAAATATTGTTACTTACTTATGATTATGTATATATATTTTTTTATACGTTACAAATTTATGTATATTTTGTAGACCTTAACTTTGAATAAGGAGCAATTATAGGAACATGGCAAGAGAGAGGGAACTCTATGTTTTGGTTGATTCTTGGTAAACAGCCTCTTCCATCACAGCCTATCCTTTGTTGGAAATCTATGCTTGTGCTGCATAAAATATTGCGTGAAGGTCATCCAAATGTAAGTATTGTGTCTAACTAACAGCAACTAACAGTAAGTATGATACTTTAGATTTATTTACTGTAGCTCCCAAATTATATTTATTGTATAATATATAAAATTTATTTGAGTCTTCAAAGTTTTTCATAGAAATTTGTCTTTTATTTTCATTTTTTATTTAAATTATAGTACTGTACTTTATGTTTAATTTTTTTATGTTATTCTAATACTAATTTTCTATCAGCATATTATTGTTTTTAGGTTCTACGTGACTCTTATCAGTATAAAAAAACATTGAGAGATTTGTTGAGTGTATATGTAAGTAATTTTATTGTTGTTTTATAATGACAAAAATAATAATCTGTAAGTAAATGATTAATATATAATATATGAAATTAGTTTGAAATATTAATCCTATTTTTTTATTTTCAATTGAAATTCATTTAATACTGTATAATCATATCACTAAAAATATATATTTAATTAGGATATATTTATACAAGGATAGAAGAAGTCAACTTTTTATTATTAATACTATTCAATATCTGTTATATCTACAATGATGTCTACCTTTATCTGTCACATAGTTAAAAGTTACTTAGTTGCTGTGTTAGCTCACCCATAATTTACTATATATGTGTGTGTTTGTGTCCTGGGTTTAATTACTATATATGTATGTTTGTTTTCTGTTTTGGCCTCTGGTGTTGTGTTAGCTCACCTGTAAGCTAACACATACTATATGTATATATCTATCTATTGGCCAGCCTCACACCTTTTCTTTATCTATTAGGCTGGCATAGATGTAAATCTGTGTTGCGTTGTTTCCTACCTAGAATATATAGGATGTGAGTGCTAGATCTTCTTGACTCTATTCATAGGATTTTGCTTATGCCTCCATGATAGTCGCTATGCAACTCTTCCTGTTATCTCTTAATGAGTGTGCAGCTCTAAAACTCGATTTAATGATTTTGAGGCCAGTTGGTAGTAAGGTTTCTTGTTAAGTTAATTCACTCAAAAAGAAGAAAGATTTAGTTAAGGAGAAAAAAAAGGAACAAACTTTTTTGAAAGCAGTTTGAAGTAAATAACTTTTTTGCTTGTGTTAAAATAAAGATCTTTACTTGTCTTTATATAATTAAAACAAATTTAAATAAAGTAATAAATCATTGCTAATGATTTTTTATAAAAATATTAATGAATATTATATATAGGCTTTGACAGGAATGGCATGTGATCGCACTCTGTAACTGACCACGCTAATTTTTTTTTTTTACAACTTGACCATCACTATTTTAATGTTTTAACAATTCTAATACAATAAAAAAAGTGTTATGGTATGAATAACTTTTAATCGTTGATCTTTTCTAAACTTTTTATTTTACGCGAAGGCTTTAAATAAAACCATAAAATTAATTATAATGAATGTTTACATAAACCCATGTGTAAATTAATAAAAAATGTTATATATACATTTTTTTTTATGTAGGCATGTATTTTTTATGATAAATTTAAATGTTTGAAACTATTTTTCTATGTCTTCCTAAAAATCTTTTAAACCATTATTATTAGAAATAATTTTTTTTAAGTTACTTTAATTTATGAAAAAGTTCAAAAACTTTTGTGACTACTAGCTTTTACACATTTTATGTGAATTATACAAGAAGATAAAATAACTTTATTTACTTATATAAGAATGTATTTTGTTGATTAATGCAAAAGTTTTGAAGCATTTTGTAATGTTCATACGATTAAATTTTTATAATTAATCTTATGTTTTTTAAAATGTTTTAAACAAACATTTTAATTTTTGAAATTTTTTTTTTTTTTAATCATGATAGGAATGAATGTGTTTAAATCTTTTATAATAATCTTTAAATTCGTTTCGCTTAGTGTTTCTACATTCAGTGCATTTCTGAAATGTTTAAATCATCAAAACATATAAACAATCGTGGTCAAGTTGTCAAAAAATAAAATCAATTGCATGGTCAGCAATAGCGCTTGATTGCATGTCATTCCTGTCCAACCCTGCATATATGTTATTTTATGTTTATAAGTATGTCTTTAAATTTAAAAAAAAATTATAAATTTAAATAAACGATTTAGCTATTTTTTATTTTGTTTACATTACTGTGAAGAATTATTAAGAATCTTTATTTTAAGTTTTAAATGTGTGCAATTACTAAACAATCATTAGATTTAAGTTGTTACTTTATTTAAAAAGGGCTTTGCATAATATTATATTATAAAAATATTGGTAAAGATAAATGATTTAAAGTTATTTATTCTAAACGTAATTTAAATAATCTTATCATTATAGTTTATTATTTATTTTAGTTTATATATTTATTTTAATTTAATTTTTTGTTTATTTTAATTTAGTAAAGTTATTTTTAGTTTGTTTTTTTTTTAATTTTTTTTTTTTACAAAGTTTTATTAGCTTCTTTTACAATAAGTTTTTTTTTAAGTTTCTTCATATTTAAATTTTTCATATAAAAGTTAATTTTTTCAGCACATTTTTACAATGTATACAAATTTTTAAAACATTTTAACAGCCGTGGTCATGTTTTCAAAATCAAATAGTATTTGCGTGGTCATATTAGCGTGAAATCGCATGCCTTCATGGCCAAGCCTGATGTATGTGTAATATATAATAGCATAGGACCTATTCATAAGAAAAATGGTACCATGGACCAACATATATATGTGGATATCCTTAATAATGTTTTGCTACCTTATGCTAATGAAGATATGCCACTAAAATGGTCCTTTCATCAAGAAAACAGCTTAAAATACAGGATTTGTAAGACTAAGGAGTGGTTTTAGGTCAATGGGGTTTAAGTTATGGAGTGACCTACTCAGTTACCTGACCTCAACCCCATTGAAAATTTATGGAAAAATGTTACGAAAGCATTTTCTGTTATTATGTCAATTAGGCGTTGACACAGCGACAAATAGGCATTGTGAAGCTGTTATCCAAAACAAAGGTTTTGAACAAAATACTAAAAACAAATATTATTTTGTTATACTTATTTTTCATTTTTGTAACGTTTATGCAAGAAAAGTTATTTTTGTATTTTTACCACTGCTATTTCAATGACTGAATTTTTTTTTTAATATTTTGTTTTATTTCAAAAATAATATGTAAAAAAATACCATTGATGTGATTTTTTTTACTCATTTTGATTGAAGTATTAAAATGTAATATTATTAACAATATTATTGAAAAAGCATTTCACAACACAAAACTCCAAGGACCAGCTCCCCAAAATCAATCAAAAAAAATTTTTCCTTTAGTTACAACTTTTTACAGCAATCTTAACTGCCAACCTTTTATTACTGAAACAAAACTGCCAACCAGTAATTGTGCTCAAGCAACCACCCAATCTACTGAGAACACTTACTTCTTCAAAAATTCAATCAACCAGTATCAAGAACTAGGATTATTTAAATGTAATGATAATTGTTGTAAAATATGTAAATTCTACCTTCAAGAAGTTAAATCATTTACAACATCAAATGGTACTATATGGAACATAAAAAGCCATATTACTTGTAATAGTAAGAAAGTTACATACACCAGAAAAACAAATAATATACAACTTTGCACTAATGGGCACATTTCTAGTTAGAAATGGGCAATCAACAGATAGGTTTGATAACCATGTATACAATTGTCAACGTCCGCATAACACCATTATAGAACCTTTTTTCCAGCTTTTTGTGTTTGTGGAGCTAAAAAATGAAAAAAAACTTAATTTCTTATGAGAAGCATTTTCACAACCAAAAACATGATACTTTTAATTGACATTACAATATAGATTACAATAGCTGCTAACAGCAACATTAAATAATTATCATTTCCTGTTTGTTTTTTTTAAATTTATTTTGTTGTTATGATAACAAAAACAGCACTACTGATGACTTTTTGAAAGGTCTCTAGTGCTACAATTGTAATGTAATCTAGATTACAATAGCTGCTAACAGCAACATTAAATAATTATCATTTCCTGTTTTTTTTTTTTAATTTATTTTGTTGTTATGATAACAAAAACAGCACTACTGATGACTTTTTGAAAGGTCTCTAGTGCTAAAATATTAAAATTTATAATTAGTGTAATTTTTGTAAAAATTAAAAGAAGAAAATATTTCAAATGGGACTAATATTTATTTTATATATATATATATATATATATATATATATATATATATATATATATATATATATATATATATATATATATATATATATATATATATATATATATATATGTATATATATATATATATATATATATATATATTATTTAAATATATATATATATATATATATATATATATATATATATATATATATATATATATATATATATATATATATATATATATATATATATATATATATATATATATATATATAACAGCACTACTGATGACTTTTTGAAAGGTCTCTAGTGCTAAAATATTAAAATTTATAATTAGTGTAATTTTTGTAAAAATTAAAAGAAGAAAATATTTCAAATGGGACTAATATTTATTTTATATATATATATATATATATATATATATATATATATATATATATATATATATATATATATATATATATATATATATATATGTATATATATATATATATATATATATATATATATATATATATATTTAAATATATATATATATATATATATATATATATATATATATATATATATATATATATATATATATATATATATATATATATATATATATATATATATATATATATATATATATATATATATATTTCAAATGGGACTAATATTTCTAATGATAAGTATTTCAATTTTTTAAAATAGAAATTTCAGGGTGGAGCCTATGGTACACTTGTTTGCGAATACTTAAAAATATTACTGACCAAGCTGGACATTCATCATAAAGTAATATTTTTGTTTAGTTATAAATTTAAAAAAATGTTTTTGATTTAAAAAAATTTTAATTTTTAAAAAGTCATTCTATTATTGTTGTTTTTTTACTGCTCCTTATCACTGCAAAAAATTTTATGTTTAATGGTGTTATTCTCAAATTAAATAAATTAAAATCATGTAGTAATTAAGTTTTTATTATATCATTATTGAGGTACTACATGCAGCAGGCCTTGGTTTTAATAAAAATGGCTTTGCACATTTGGTCGTTGTGATTTTAACGTCATAAAATTATCTTCTTTTTTTTTTCATTTACGGACATTAACTTTTTTGAAATACTGCAATAAAATAAATGACCTCAAACCAAGTGTTTTTTTTTTTATAATTTACCTCCCAAGGCCAAGAAGGCCACTACAATAAAGGAAGCTTCTTGTGGTTATAACTCTTTCTTAACTCTATAACTTTGAAACACAAACCTTGACGAACAAGGCCAGGGCTTTCCAAGTTTCTGCTTTCCTTTTTTGGTTTCGCACAATCTGTTAATTATATAAAGCTGATGTTGCTATTATAAAATACTATTTTTCTTAACTATTATTTTTTTCAATATAAATATAAATACTAAAAGAAGATATTGCAAGTGCTATATTGCTAAATATAGCACTTGTAAATACTCGATTACGTTTATTATTTAATTATTAAATTGATTAAATAAAAAACTTCTATAGATTTAACTTTGTTTTTAATTTTTCAATACAACTTTTTTTCAATTTAGATACCTTTGTTATTAAATATATTTATACTTGATAATTTTATCAAGTATATTTATTCTTGATAACGAGGGTTATCAAGAATAAATATACTTGATAATGTTATTTAAACTCAATTATTCAACTCAATTATTCAAATTAATTTCTCCGCGCAGCGGCCTTGCTTGTCAAGGTTCGTGTTTCGGAGTTAAAGAGTTGAGAGAGAGTTGTACCACGATTTACAAAAAAAAAAAAAAAAAAAAAAGAGTAGTCTTCTCAACAGTAGTGGCCCTTCGGGCCTTGGGGAGGTGAATAATTAAAGAAAAAAAAAAAAAAACTCTCAAAATATTATTTTGAAAAATTAATAATTGTTATATCCAAAGAAATTTTTTATTTAACTATAAAAAATTAAATTCATTATAAAATGTCATTTAAAGTTTGTAATAATTAATTTTTTGTCATTTTTTTGTTGTTGATAAAATCAATCATTATATAACAAAACAAACAAACAAAAAAATTAAAATATCAAATGTGGCGCTATTATAAAATAAAATTTAACATTTACTATTTTTTAGCTAATATATATACTTTTTAAATTCAGTAATTGTTTTTTGTAATTAGAAATTGTCTAATTAAATATTCTTGCGCATTATTTTTTAATATTAATATAGATATATTTTTTTTGTTTGCTGAACATTATTGGAAAAGTTAGGTTAATAAAAATAAAATTATCTTTGTTTTTCTTAAGTTACATTTGTACATATCATTGTACATTGCTAATATCAAATGTAATTGTCTTTCAAATTTTTTTTTACCTAATCGTCACTCAAACTTTATAAGTGGTTTTTATAAAGTTAATTATTTCTTTTATCCGACGGCTTAAATAATATCTTTAGGCTTGTTTAAATATTAAAAAATGATATAAAGTGACTAAACTTAAATGGCGTACCGTTTATGTTAAATGGCTTAATGAGTACGTAAATTTCGTGCCATTTTACACTTTAAAACAAGGCCTGATGTAGCTAAATGTTACTAGTTTACACTTGCATTTTATTACAGGTATCAAACAATGATGATTATTGTTATTTTTCTAATTAAATAAATATCTGAACGAGATATTTCATTATATTTAAGATAAATGTGATGTCACCCTAATTAAAATAATAAATATTATATTTTAACTTTTATTGAAATAAAATCAACATTTCTTCTTTTCATGTATTCCTAATGGTACCTCTGTGACCAGAGGATTACATGAAAATAAGAAATTTCAAGTTATCTCTGAGTTACCATAACTCTCATATTGTTTTGTGATTAGATATAGAATGTCATTTTTAAAATATAAAATCTCTCCAAGATTGCTCTCAGATATTGTATATCAAGTCCATTGTAAAAGTACTTTAGTTTTATAATTGTAAATCTATTTTTTTTAATTTGTTTAAATTTAGTATCCTGGAATACCTGGTGCTCTTACATCATCATCTGAAACCACAATGAAAATTCCAGATAGTGATGTGAATGATGTGTAAACACTTTAAAGAAATTGTTTAATATTTAAAAATATATTATTTATTGAGAATGTTTATTTTGAATCCTTTTAGTCTTTGTTATAAAAAAACAATAGGTTATCTTTAATAATAGGTTAAGTAATAATATATATATATAATACATACTATTTTCTAGATTTACATTTGCAGTTGAGTGTCTGGATTATCAAGACCTGCTTTTAACATTTGAAGAAAATAGTAATTATTTTTAACATAAATATTTTTAATTGATTGATTACTCTAATAATATTTATTTAATTTCAATTTACTTTTAGTTTTGAAGACTTTGGACAAGTCAAGAAATAATTCACAGACTGCAAGTTCACAATGCAAGATTGCTATACTAGTTCCAATTTTAAAAGTAAGAACTTTAAACAGATTTTTATAAGAAAAAGTTGAGTTTTGCCAGAAGTGTTGGAGTTATGATATTTATTTTGTTATTTGAAAAAAAAATTATGATCAAGGTTTCTTTGGCCAGATAATTTGAATTCTTATGTTTTCACAGACAAATTCATATTTGTGAACCACCATAAGGATGAAAGGAATAATAAGCAAGTGCTTAGTAAACATTGAATGAAGACATAAGTGTGTCCTTAACTTTTACAATTTTACATATAAACTTGTTTCTATATTTATGACAGCCACTCCTGATAACTCTGGGGTACTTGTGGAGACTCAATGAATTCAAAATGCTTCCATTAAAAGCTCCTGAAGAATAGAAAACAAATAAAAAAATTCTCGAAAAAATCTTAAAAAAATGTTTTAAAAATATGGAGACAAAAAAAAAAATGTTTGTAAAAGTGTTTTAAAATTTGTTTACTAGTCTAAATTTACTAGATATAAGATTATGATGTTTAGTAGTTTACATATTCCCATCTAATTACAATATGTTTGAAGTTTTCTGAAAAATAAAATAAAAATTGAGGAAAACTCATAAAAATCCCATAATAACTCATCAAAATGATTTTGGTATCAAAAATTGAGTGAGCATAAATCAGGTGCTACATTCTGGGTTAAAGTTATTTTTCTGCTCATTTAATATTTTGGTTTAAAGTTGTTTTTTTGCTCATTTAAAGAACCTAACTACTGACTATTAAAGTTATAAGTTTCATTACTGACTACAATTCACAAGCATAATCGCTTATAACTAATACTTAACTTAACGCTGCCGCTGCTGCTGCTGCTCACCATTCTTGCACCTTTACACGGACTTTTTTACCATACTTGGCCTTTGAGTTTTATTATAAATTGCTTTACTTCTGGACTCGCGTAATGAAGCTCTTTCAAATCTTAATAATCTGTCAGTATCTGCTTAATCAGTAATGAGATCAAAAACTTTGTTTCATCAGCTTAATTAGTGATAAGATCAACAATTTTTATTTGATAACTTCTGTAGTAAAGGATAAACATTATGTTATTATTGAATTAGTAAAGTAACTTTTAAAGTCAGGTGATTTATTTAAATCATGCATTTTAGTCTTTTGTCAATTGTATTTAAATTTATCAATTTATAAAATTAATCTGTAATTTTTAAATTAAAAGACGACTCAAGAAGACGTTGCTCATTTCAAAGGTCAAGAGGTCAAACTCTTGATAAAGTTAGTGTTTAAAACACTTGCATCTCACACGGTCAACTCAATGTTACATGTTAAAGAACAAGATCGTTTAATACCTTATTTAAAAGAAGTTATAAAAACCCGTATAAAAAACCAGATTGTTTGATAGTTTGTTTTTGAAAGTTGTTAAAAATTTATTACGAGGTATTTCAAAAAACAAAAATAAGGTTGTATTTGTAAAGTTTCAAATTTATATATTTTTCTTAATTTATATATTTATCTATATATGTGTGTTATTTATAATGTGTTTTATTGTGTATATATGTGTTAAGGTTATATGGGTTTATATTTTGTAAGTATGTAAATATATGAAATGTTTCAATGTTTGTGGTGTGTTATATGTAATATGTTTATAGTTTGTAAGTGATAATTATGTTGTTTGCATGGTTTCAAATTGTTGTGACTGGGCTTAGTTTACAGCAAGATTGTTGACCTTGCTAGCCAAGTGGTGTACTTTGCTATAATGTGACCTGGCTTTGTTGAGAGCAAAAATATTGTCCTCGCCAGCAGAGTGGTGTATTGTCATAATAAAACACATAAATTAATTCTGTTTGTAATTAGTGTATTTCTAAAATGTGTTGAAAAAATGTGTTTTAATGTTGTTATCCTCTGTTCTTAACAATGTATGCTTTTGACAATAAATAAATTTTGTTAAAAAGCAGGCTTTACTAACAGCTCCTCCTCATTAAAATTTTTAAGAGTTTCGATTTTCTTCATTAAATATGTTTAACTCAAATTTTTTTTATATATATAAAAGTAAGTATACAGCGTGTTGAAGCATAAGTTTTAATAACTTTTGTTAAATTTTTAGGATTTTTTGTATAGAGAATGTTTTGTATAGAGAATGTTATATATATATATATATATATATATATATATATATATATATATATATATATATATATATATATATATATATATATATATATATATATATATATATATATATATATATATATATATATATAGATAGACACACACACAATAAAATATATAGAATTAAAATGTCTATACATATATTATATGTATAGACATTTTAATTTTTTTGCCTTAAATTATTGTCCCTTTTTTTTTAGAATATTAAATATCTAAAAAAAAATTAAAATAGTAAAAGAAGTTTCAATATTTCCAAGTTTCTTCACTTGAAGCAAATATATGATTGTTTATAGAGGTTCTTTTAGTAGTTTTGTATTTATTTATTGCAAATCTTGCGTTAAATGCCTTTCAAAGTAATGAAAAGGTTTTGTTGATGGATGATTACATTTTATCCTTCCATGCTAGCAGTACTTGCTGAGTTGACAGGCCTTAAATTTTTTTAATTTGCTTTATTTATGAGTTCTTATATGTAAAAAATTTGTTTTTTAAATTACATTTTTTTTTTTTTTTTTTTTTGATTAAATACTTATAATATTTTGTCAATAATTAATAACAACTACCATAAATATATAAACAATACTTAGTTGAAAGTATTATATTAATTTATAACTTTAGTTTAAGTTTTTAATAAAACTATGTTATCCTAACACAATGCTATATATGGTAGAATATAATAGATTGTAGTATTATGCTCTGTATTATTTGCTTACACTTTATTTTAGATAAGTTTAAAAAAGAAACTTCAACTTTTATTATATTAGGCATCATTTTTACACACTCCTTTGATGCCTAATTATGTCTAATAATTTAAGAAATGAAATTATTAAACTTCGTCAAAATGAAAGAAGGCAGGCTAGGCGAGCTGAGATAAACCGCCGTCGAAATGAAAGAGATGAGCCCAGGCGAGCTGAGATAAATCGTCGTCGAATTGAAAGAGATGAGCCCCGGCAAGCTGAGATAAATCGTCGTCGAATTGAACGAGATGAGCCCCGGCAAGCTGAAATAAATTGTAATCAAAATGAAAGAAATCAGGCTAGGCGAGAACTTAATAGGTATAATATGCATCGCATAGCAAGAAATAATATTGCTATAGAGAGTAACTACCTCGGAGAATTAAACCATAATTGTCAGTATTGCAGTGCAAAGAAGTTTTTAAATGAAACTCATTTTTTGTGCTGCCATTCAGGAAAAGTTGTATTAGCTCCTCTTTCTTTATCCGCCATTGTTGACTGGTTTAATGACAGGAAACCATGTTGATCATGCTGTAAATCAAAATTTTTTTAAACACATAAGGAGTTATAATTCCTCTTTATCTTTTGCTTCCTTCACTGCCGAAATAGCTCCTCCCTCAAATAATGGCCCTTTCTGTTTTAGGGTCTGTGGGCAAATTTTGCATCGTGTTGGAAATTTAAGGCCTGCAGAAGGTTGTCTGCCCAAATATTGTCAGCTGTATATCTATGATCCTAATGCAGCAGTGTCATTCAGAATGGAGCAACCTGGTAATGATGGTTGATGGTAATGACATGTTAATTTGTAATTAATGTGTATAATTATGCGTTTAAATAACTTTGTTCCATTTTTAGTTCCGTTTCTTATAGCTGACATGATTATGGCTTACCTAAAACGTAATATTTATGAAACAATGATTCAATTTAAATTGTATTATAAGTAGCTCTGTTGAATAAAATTTTTTTTTGTAATTTGTACTAAAGGTTATATTTTTATTTTATATCAAGAAAAATATGTTTTTAAGTAAATATCTATATTTTTTTATTTTGGGATTTATTGTTTTAAATGGATATAAAAATCATTTTTGCTTTGTCTTTTATATTTCCTTTTATTATATATAAATAGGATTTTTGGCACACACGACAGGTTTAATAACTTAGGCAGTAAAAACAGCTTGAATGATTTGTTAAAAGTCTTTAAAGAAACGCTTTTACGAAAAGCATTAAATAGATAAAGCTAACTTATTTAAAATAATAAGTCTTTAACCCGTTTTTCTATATCCAAATTTACTTTTTAAATAAATGTTGATGAAAGGGTAGAATATCGTTATAGCCTACGTTAATTTTAAATTCTTTTTAAATTAAAGGAAAGAGTTTTGATACTTATTTAAATACGGTTAATAAAATATTTTAAATTATATTATATATATTATATTTATGAAATTATTAAACTAAATTAAATAAGATTTTTAGATGAAACAGTAAAAATAATTGTTTAAAATACGTGCGTGCAAATAATTCCTACAAATACTAAACGTAAAATAACGCTTACAAACACCAAAAGTATGTTTGCAGTGAATAAAGTTAAGTTCAAAGATAAATAGGAAGAAATGTTTAAAACTGTTTCAATAATAACATTTATTTTTAATTACTTTTGTTGTAAGTTGGGATGAAAAAAAAAGGTCACTGGAGTATGAACTCCCGGGGTGAGATGACTATATCTGTCTAAGTGTTGCGCGTCTACCAATTAGCCCATAAACGTATTTTCTATTTAGAATTTAAGATTATTTATGACGCATAAGAAGTGTAATTAAAAATTCAAAACCAAGTTTGCAACAACTGAATTTAAATAAAATCTAATTAGATGTGTATATGTTATGAACGTTAACTAAGGCGTACTTTAACGGCGTCACGTGTTGAATGTTTTAGCATTTTTCTAAGTTCGTAGTCTTTTTTACGTTTTTTCTTATTAAAATTTTTATAATCGGCATAATATTAAAATCGTTTGAAGTTTTTAAAAGAACATTTTAACAGAAATGTTTTTGTCATATCAAAAAGTAAGTATAGTTTTTTATATGTACATTTTTAAACGGTTTTAAAAAAATATTGAGGTAAGGAATAAGTATAGAAAAGGTCGGTGTGGAATAGATTTACTAAGACCCTTAGTTTACGTCCGGATAGCTATAGATAAGTATAAAAATGGTCGGTTCAGTAAAGACCCGTATTTTACGGGTCCCCCCAGCTAGTAGTAATAAATGTGACAATTTTTGAAAATATTCAATTTTAGGAATGCAGTGGAATTTATGATATCTTGGTACTTGTTGTTGGAAAGCTACATAAAAGTATGTATTATTTGTTACTTTAAAATATTTTATTTACTACATCAAAAAAATACTATACAGTTTTTGGTAAAACAGAATGGGTTCAAATGCTGTAATTTTTACCAACAATATTTTTACTGATTAGCTGTTTAAAAAAAAAAGGTTTAAAAAATGTATATATGGGCAATTCAACAGACTTTTTTAATTAGGAACAAGTTTCAAAAAACTTTTTGCAGATTTTAAATGATTGTTAGTAGAATTTGTGTTAAAACTTCTCATGGAAGGAACGACAGGTTCCTTCCATTCAAGTTTCAATGGCTATAACAAAAAAGTCATTATTCCACATGCAACATCTTTACCTGAAACTAAATAGGTATTTATAGGTAGCATGTTAGGTATTATTCCCCCCTTGTAAACGTTTTTATTATTTTTTTAATTTCCAATTTAGTTTAAAAAGGTCATTCCTTTTGAAAAAAAAGACTTTTCAATCCTGCCCGTATGTTCATGATAAGATTGTTATAATTCATGTTAAAATCTAATGGCTGTTTTTTTTTACTTTAAATATTAAGTATGAAGGGAAACATTTTTTAAAACCAAAATGAAAATTACAGGCTTTGTTATGAGTTTTTTGGAAGCAATGCAAAAGAAAATAATATTTTGTTTGACATAAAATTAACAATGCTTTTAATTGTTTTTGTAATTTTTAAAAATAGTTAAATATAAAGAAGTTTAGACTTAAATTTATAACAATATAGTACTATGTTTCTGCTAATAATATGATTGTGGCTTATGTTTCTAAGGTTGAAATTATTAAAAATTATTAAATTTTATTTAATTTATAATTTTTTTTCTTTAATTTTTGTATGTAGTTGTTATATTTTTTTTATTATTTAGTTATTAAATTCAATCTATTTATCTTTTATTACAAAAAAAAAAAAATTATTTGAAGCTATATTATTATTGTTTAATATTTAACTAAAATTGATTTTTTTTGTTGTATATCTGTTGCAATTATTTATTTTTGATTATTAAATTAAATTCCGAAGAACTGATGTTCAAGGAAAAAAAGTTGATCAATAAAGTTAAATTAAAAAAATAATAATATAAAAATTGCTTGTTTAAACAACAAAATTTAAGGCATAATTTGCATAAATTATGCTTTAAGCATAAAAAATTTTGGAGCACTTAGGAATAGTCACAGTAAAAGGATTAGACTTAATTGAATGATGAGTAAAATGAGAATGAGTTTTAGTAGATGGCACAAGAGACACTAACTCTTTAGAGCAGTGCCAATTATTATTATCAGGTCCAACTATGTTAACAATGCATTTTTTGCATTTTTGTCTTAAACAGAAAGGGCATCATTCAAAGATCCGCTCCAGATATAGCAACAGTATTCCATACAAAGAAATCAGAGAATTGTAACTATTTGCTATACATAAGTGATGGGTATTGATTGGTGCAGGATCAGACAATATTTATGTCATTGCACGTATGTAGAACTTACAGGAAGCATTTTAAATTAACAGTAAATCATAAAAAACAGTAGGTATTAACAGTTATTTGATAAAAAAATTTTAATAACCAAAAAAACATGCATGCAAAGATGATAAACAGTACACATTTAAATTGGAAACTTTAATTAAAGTACCATATAAAGAAGAAAAGGAAACAAAAACGTTAATTTAACTCAAGGCTTTCATCTTCACTTGCATTAGGTAGCTCATCTTCAGGAATGGTATTTTGAGCTGTGAATTGTCCTAGTAGATTTTCATCATTACTAGCTTGACCAGTCACACTCTTTTCTTGCAAACATTTAATCTTGTTATTCTCTGCCTTTTCAATGGACCATTTCTTTCATCATCTGCCTGAGTCTTTTAATTTTATATTGAAAAGCATCACTTACTGAGGTGTTGATGTCAAAATTTTCCCTCTCATCAGGAAAACATGACAGCACTGGAGAAGGATCATATATATTCTATATTTCTGGAACCCTGATTAAAGATTTTCAGTTGTTGTATCCAACTCCTCTAATAGTTGACATGGAAGTTTTGAAAATTTTTCATTCTGAATGTTTTAGCCGCTTTTAGTTTGGGAGGTTTTGAACTGTGTTAAAATTTATTTCCATTTGCCTTTCATTGGCCCAAATTAAGATACATCTAATGGCTGACACAAATGTGTTGAGCTTGGTGACAGACAAATAAATGATATATTGTTGATGTTGCACTGACAATGGACATCTTCACTAAAGTGGGAGAACAAGTTGTCCCTTATGATTTCAAACCAGTTTTTGAAGCAGAAAATATCAATCCAGCCTGATTTGGAGGGATTATATCTTGCTTTTTTGGGGCCTCCCTCTGTTTATGTTGTCCAGATGTGTTTTGCTTTATATACAAAGTATGAAGGATGTTGTTTCCCAGAGGTAGTTTCTGCCATAATTAAGCTTGTTGAAGTTTTGGTTGAATTTAAAATTCTTTCCAGGTATCTTATGCCTGGCTTGAAGTTAGGTGACATAATTTACCAAGGATAGGTTTCCATTATCAGCTCTGAAGTTTTTTAGCAGTATGCTTTAAAAGCATCCAAGTTCATGTGGAATCCACTGTAGACATCATTCAATATTCTTCTTAGCCTTACAATGATGTCCAAACTCCTATTATTTCAGAGTAAGATTCTGCTGTAAGAAATCCTTCCAGTATTTCTTATATAAGTATTTCCAGATCCCTGCTTAGGAGTATCAACCACTAATCTTAACTCCTCTCTAAACTTTCTTTTGATTTCTTTTTTTCAATATTTTACAGATATTGTTATCTTCTGGAGACTAGAACTGGTATCTTTTAGTATCCATTTTATATCCCAATTGTAGAATGAATTCAAAAATTCATATTTGTGAAAAAATATTACGGTGATTATAGCATGGGAACATGAAGAACCCAAATAATGGAATATTGTTTTAAGTTTTTAAAATATTTATGAATATTATTTTAAGTTTTTTAAAATATTTATGTGTATAATACTGTCCACCCTCCCTCCCCTCATCCATTCGGGAGGGTATACAGTATTATACACATAAATATTTTAAAAACTTAAAATAATATTCAACTTTATCAATACAATTTAAATTTCATAAAAAAATCTTTTGGTGTTTAGAAGTAATGACACATAAACGACCACCTATTTTTGGGGGATATATATTTTACACGGATTTATATTTTTTATACTTATGGGGCAGCTGATTTTTTTTTTGGTTATCCATGACAACATCCCCAAGGATAAGCTTTTTGTCTTAAGCTTTTTGGTTTTGAAAAAAATTAAATAAATCATCTAAATTAGTAAAAAAAAAAAGCAAAATTAATAACTATAAAAAATTGTGAAAAAAAATTGATAAGAATAGTGCATTTAAAAAAATCCACTTATGGCCACTTTTTTAATTTTTTTCTTCACAGTGCGTCGCATGAAGCTGTAAACTAAATCCTCCCCAGGTAAATTATTTTTAAACTATGATTCATTTCTCCCCAGGTCCAGGTATTGCTTGACTATCAAACGTAGATCTATGGTGTCCCCAGTTAGGCAGAGCAAGCAAATGTTACACTATTACTTCTTCTTCTACATCAGACAGTACTGTCTGCCCACCCGGTTTACTTCTTATAGAAATTCAATTTTCACATTTGTCCTTCAATTTAATTTGGAATGTTGATTTTGCAATGATCACAAGAAGGAATCTTACTGTGAGATTCCTTCTTGCGATCTTCTAATGCAAGATGTAAAGTCTCAGTAGGTGTTAAATTGTAGCATTGGCTTCTTGGTTTAGGCTTGTATGTCCTAGGCATGGTGACTTGTTCTGTGAGTTAAAAGAAACAAATTTAATTTAATTGGGTTTAATTTTATGTTAATATAAAAAAAAAAAAATAATACACTGAATAAAATTTTCTTTTATGCAATTAATGAAGATAAAAGCAACTTCTCTCTCTGGCCATAGTCACCTCGTCATTGCTCTCATTATACAGGGTGATTATGGCCACCCCTATACCAAAAAAATATAGCTTTCATTTCAGTAATTTTCCTGGTTAAGTAAGGTTTAAATAAGTAGAAACAATAGTTTAAATAATTATAGTCACCTTAGTAAGTCCTGTGTACTTAGAATTTTGCAGGTTTTCAAAAATGTGAAAAAAAAAACACATGTCAGATGGCTATCTTGAATAGATATCTGTACCGCAAAATATTTTCTGTGCATTGTGAAAAGCTACTAAATAATTGCATATATATATATATATATATATATATATATATATATATATATATATATATATATATATATATATATATATATATATATATATATAATTTTGCATTATGCACAATTAAAATACCTAAAAGTATAATAGTTTAGGAATTAGGGTTTTTTAAATCTTTTTTTGCTTAATGGCCCAAACTCTTGGTCACCCTGGGTAACCAAGTCACCCAGGGGGTGTACCAGTATATGGGGTGTACCAGTATATGGGGTGACTAGTATATGGGGTGACCAGTGTCATCCCATATTAGGGTAGCTGAAATAAATCAAGTTTTATCTGATTTAAAGTTCACCAGGCACTGAGAGCCACATGCTGTAGCAGAAGTGAACTCCTTTTTAAGCTCAAATGTCTCCTCCAAGCAATTAGAAAGTGTTGGCTGCTTTGCAAGACAAGAATGAATAATAGTGTCATCAGCAAACAATGCCACCTTAAATGTGAGGATTTCTGGGAGATATAGAGCCAAAAGTATAGGATAGAACCTTGTATAGGATAGTATATAGTATATATATAGTCAGTATATATAGATAGTATATAGGAAGTATAGGATAGAAACCAAGGATAGAACCTTGAGGAACCCCTGAAGTTACAGGAAATGAAGAAGAGTGCTGTCTGTCAAGGACAACTTTTATTTAATACTCTTAAGAATCCCCAAGAAATCCCCAAGAAGAAAGCTTATGGAGAAGAAAACTTTATCAAAGGCTTTAGAAATGTTGAGAGCTATGGTCTTAACCT